GATGAGGATGCACACATCCTGGACAGGGAGGAACGTTGGTTTGAGCGCAGAGTCAAGGAGGCCATTTACATGAAAAGGGAAAGACCATCTCTGAATCGAGGAGGGGGCCTAAGGGTACATCTTTCACCATCTTACAATGCTGTGATTGCAGCCATTCCCCAACTCTCTGTGAATGTACTCATGGCCATTGATCAGTGGTCTTTGATCAATGGGTTTTGGTCAGTGGTTGTTGATCAATGGTCATGAGAATTTGCATAATTATGATTAAGGAACTGACCTCACAGCCCATTGTTCCTTCAGTGGGCTGGTTTCAGTCATTATGCAAATTTGCTGTTTATAAGATTTGGGGAAACCTGCAGTCAGCTGAGACTGAAGAAGTCACTTGGATGAGTGACGAAACGTTTCTCCCACAAAACGCTACGTCCAGATGAACAGAATCAAGGAGGAGACTGATGAGACTGAGGTCCTTCGGAGTCTGCAGGACTCTGTTAAGGACATTCTATGACACTGTGGTAGCATCTGCCCTTTTCTATGCAGTGACCTGCTGGGGGAGTGGATGCTCGGACAGGGACAGGAGCAGGATTGACAAACTGGTGCGGAGGTCTAGCTCCGTGCTGGGATGTCCCCTGGAGTCTGTGGAGGTGGTTGGTGAGGGGAGGATGTTAGTAAAGCTGACATCCATCATGAACAACCCACATCACCCACTGCATGAGTATGTGAGTGGGCGGAGCAGCTCCTTTAGTCAGAGACTGAAACACCCTCACTGCAGGAAGGAGCGCTTTCGCAGATCATTCATCCCAACAGCAGTTAGACTCTATAACTCCTCAATCACGATGTCATAAGTCACTGGACACTGTGAACATCCACGGTCACCACTTCATGCATAATGGACCTTCCATGACCTTCCAAGCTATATAGTTTATGTCTTCCATATTTCCAACTATATCCATAATCACATACTGTGTATGCTACCATTGTATATAGTGCATTATCTTACTTTTTTTCATTGATTGTACTTATTTGTATTTTTGTATTTCCTTCATATATCTGTACCTGAGCTGAGGTGACACAAAAATTTCCCCGTTGTGGGATCAATAAAGTCTTATCTTATCTTATCTTATCTTATCTTATCTTATCTTATCAACTTTTGGAGATACATTAAAATAAAGTAGAATTTGAGACTAGGCTGTTTGCAATATTTTGCCAAGTTAGATTTATTAAATAATAATTTAAATAAATAAACCCCATAAATTACACTAACACTTATCATTACTGACATTACCCACATTGTCCAACATTCATTTGTGCCCTGTTTAGTTTGATGGGATCTGATCGCCCAAACACCAGAGGACTTTCAACTTTAAAAAATGTTACAAAAAATATTCATGAAAAAATTATATCTCTATGCCTTAAGAAGAACATGATTTAGGAAAACGTAGGCACTATTATTGTACGGTATTTACCTTACAATATAAGTGTTAGTGTTTCTATTAACCTAATGAAAGGTTTTTGCCTCAATACAAAATTGACACAATTACTGTGGAATCTGGAGAAGTATGGGATAAGGTGTTTGAAAAGTTTTTATACTTTAACTTAATAATTTCAATAGTTGGTTCCAATGCCAAGTATTCAGAGTATATAAATTCTTATCTTTAGAAGTCAACAAAATGCATATTGTCATGAAAATAAGTAAATTGTTTACATGAATCAAAAATTTAGAGTTACTTTGTTTTAGAGCCAATATGCATCCTAAATTGTAATAAACATTTTCATGCGTTTGTCTCTGATTTTGTGCGACATAAAAATTGGCAACATCTCGTCATACACGTGAGGGTTTCACTGATTTCCGGTACTCCTTGGTACACTTTGGAAAATTAACACTTCCACGTGACCTCTACGTCACCACGCTAGAGGGGCGTATCTGCAGCGGCAATTTAACATTTTGTTCTGTGCCCAGGAAAAAACGTTCTTACAACTCTTACAATTTTGATATTGACGTAAAATGTGTGGTGTGTATTCACCATTTAAATGGCTAATAATATATAGAGATTATGAAAAGTAAAAGATAAATCTAAAGTGATGTTAACAGCAAATTTCACAAGTGTGTAATCGGGCAGGCTGAGTTTGTGGGGGCTACAATCCAGACTTGTTCATAAATTTACATTTATTTAACTTTAATATTTTTATTCAACGGTTTGGTATACCTGAAGAAAGTGTAAGCAATGTGCATAATATATGCGGAATGGAAATGATTTTTTTAAACAAGTATGATACAGTGAAGAAACAGTTAGCAAGTGTGGGTATACTGCGGATGTATGCGAATAAATATACTACATTCGCGGCTTCCATACAGAAGGGGATGTAGCTCAGTGGTAGAGCGCATGCTTTGCATGTATGAGGCCCCGGGTTCAATCCCCGGCATCTCCACATTTTTTCTTTTCTTTTTTGGGGGAAAATTCCTCAAAACTGTTTAATCTTAACCTAAAATGTGACTATTTAAATATCACAACTAAACTGAACTGTTCCCTTACTAAACGTGGGCATGTTTTAGCTCCGGGAATTCTGTCATTTGACGGCTGATATATAATGACGGAAATCGTAGCTTCTTTAGAGAGTAAACAGAATAAACGGATAGAAATCACATAATCGAAGCAGTTCTGTTCACGGCCTGTGGCGTAACCTGGAACGACTCTACCGGGTTAAAATTGTTTCAATTATTTAATGGTATCCTTTTGCAGAAACAAAAGCCCGAGAGCTGACAAACTTCACATTCACATTCCCTATTGCTTTGAACGCACCGCAAGTCCCGCCCCAGCGGTAACTAAGGAGATCACAGTTAGTTTACTTCCAACCTCCTTTGCGCTACCCCTGGCTCTCTAGCAAAATGACCAAAATCTGAGGAATATTCCAGCAATAATAATACCATTCTGTGTACGAGCTTCTCTCAGAATGCAACTGAAGTATCTCAAGACACTTTTAACCTCCCGGGTAAGTTGACGAGTTAGCTAACGGTAACTGGTGCTATGAAGCCAGCGCGAGTTAGCTAACAATAACTGGTTCTGGAAGCCAGATAATCATGTTTATACTGGAAAGCTGAAACTGCGCACCAGTTTCGTGATATATTTATTTATTTTTTGCATGAATTTGATTTTACTGACCCACGCTGAACTGTTGTTGAAAGCGGATTTTTGCACTTAACTAGCCAGGCTTGCTAGCACATAAACACGGCGTCCTTATGATTAATACATGGCCAAAAGTCTGCACGTCCTAAACTGGATTTTAAAACACCTAAATCTATCGTGTCTGATCAAATTTAACATCTAACTGTCGCTCATAAGGAAGAGTATCTCTACTGGCCAAAATAGACAACAGTTAGTTAAAACATGATTTTATAGAAAAACAGAAATCAGGGCCAAACACAAGATAAAACAGAGAAACACTGATTTTCATTTAGAGTAGAAGCATAAAGACACGTGTAACAGATACACAATCATTAGAAGGATTTTAAAAGGGGACATCATTTCCCCTTGTGGGACTAATAAAGGTATATCAATCATATAAGAGCAAGTCTATAAATCAAGTGCTTTAGGACTGATTTGTTTACCTGCTTTGACAGGAGTTTGCTGCCAAAGTTACCTGCATGGCATGGGCACCAAACAACATCAAGTTCGCTGTTTGCACTGTGGACAGGGTGGTGTTGCTGTATGATGAGCATGGAGAGAGCAGGGACAAGTTCTCCACAAAACCTGTGGACGCCAAGGTGAGACAAATCCCGTTGTCCTTTGAACTGCATGTGTGTATGAAAAGAGGTGCTGTATATAATGTAAAGAAATGATGATGAATTACTTGCCATTAACCAAATGTGTCGCTGGAATCATAGACTGTATATAAAAGATGTACCATTGCCATTGTGACAACACCCATTTATTGTGAACTCTGTGCTTGTATTTGTAGCCTACACCAAGTTGCTTTGTAAAATCTATATTAAATGCAACTGGGTATCTATCCAGCAAACATATCCTCTTGAGGCCCATGTGAGGCCACTGTGGGCAAACCCACACTGTTGGCAGCTCACTATGGGCTGAAATGTAGGGTACATCTGGGCCCTGCACTGTGGGGCCTCACTGTGTGTTTGCCCAATCAGGTCCTACAGTTTTACTATGCGGGGCCCCCATGACGGATTTCTATAGGCCAGGAGCACTGTGGGTTTGTTGGTGTGTGGTGTGTTATTATGTTAGAGTGCTTTTCTATAATAATAATTACTCATATGTATTATTTTCTCAGTATGGAAAGCAGAGCTATGTTGTAAATGACATGGCCTTCTCACCAGATTCCACGAAAATTGCCATCGGCCAATCTGACAATATCATCTTTGTCTACAGAATCGGAGAGGACTGGTAATTACCTCTGCTTAGTTCCATTTTTCTCATTAGTTTATATTTTGGTACAATTCAAAGCAGAAGCTTTAATCAGTTTTCTCGTCTCTCCTAGGGGGGACAAGAAAGTCATCTGCAATAAATTTGTTCAGACGGTAAGAAAACGTGATTTAATGCATTGTTATTGCCTTGAGGAGCACGCTAAAAGTGGCAGTGACTATGCTTTTTGTCAAAACTTGAAACTTTTCTTTCCATAAAAGGAATCTATTAAACTCATTTTCAGCATGTGTTTTTATACTTTTGCACAGTGTAGCTTTGCTTAGTTTAAAGTTCAGAGTAATCATCATTTAGTCCACCTGTCTCAGATAATCTCACATCTGAAGCAAGTAGTTTTAGTTCCTCTCATTATGCCAGCTGTGTTTAATTGGCTGCTGCATGCAAACAAAAGGTTTGAAGGGCATGTCGATGGAGTCTCTGTGCTGTTGAATCTGAGAGTTAATAGCAGTGTTGGGAAGGTTACTTTTAAAATGTATTCCATTACAGAATACAGAATACATCCCCCAAAATGTATTCTGTAACGTATTCCGTTACGTTACTCAATGAGAGTAACGTA